AGCCGAGGCCCCCGCCCCCGCGGGGTGAGGTGGAGCCGGAGCCGGAGCCGGAGCCGGGCTGGCAGGCACGGCCGCTGCCCCTTCCCCGCGGCCCCGAGCTCGGCTCCGCTCCCTATGGGCTAGGCCGCCGCCGCCATGTTCAGCTTCGAGGGGGATTTCAAAACCCGGCCCAAGGTGTCTCTCGGCGGCGCGAGCAGGAAGGTAAAGACCCGGCGAGTCGGGCCCGGCCTGGCCCGTCCTGCGCACTCCCCGCGCCGGTCAGTGCTGCAGGGGAGTGGCGGGGCCCGGGCTGGGCCTGGTGGCCGGGCAGGGGCCTCTGCGGCCTCGGGATGTGCTGGCTTAGCCCCAGCCGGACCCTCTGGGTGGAGCAGCCCGAGATGCGGCTCGGGCCCGGCCGGAGGGAAGGACGAGGCTGGAGCCGGGCAGGGAGCTTGGTCACTGAGGTGGGACCTGCTCCACCTCCTCCTAAGGAAGGCGTCCCCCGTCCCCGTCCGAGGCCACAGGACCTCCTGGCAGCCTCCCCCTGGACCTGGCCCAACTTGCTTCTCTGCCCAGCCAGGAGGCCCCCGGGACCCGGGGGGGAGGGGGTCCTCCCTGCTCTGCATCTCGGGCCGTGCGCGCTGGTTGCGTCCACTCGGCCGTGGGGCCCTGTCCAGTGCACTCTGCCCCGAGCTCCCCCTCCATGCATTTGCGCTACGCTTGCAACCTCACTCCTTTTCCAGTTTTCTTTTATTTGTCCAGAGAAATCAACTGTGATGTCTTTGGTGGTCTCCTTCTTAAGAAAGGCTGATCATTTTCTCTGGTGGGCCTAGGCCCTCGCCCAGTGGCATAATGAATAGCCCTAAGGCCGGCATCTAGCAGAGCACTGCCAAGTTTACATAACTCTTAATTTGTGCCCCCCCAGCTTATCTTCCGCTGGCACTTCCAGCAGATGAGGGAACGTTTCTGCTCGTTAGGCATCATGTTTTCTTTCTTGGAAGGTAGAATAAATGTCAGGTGAAAGAGGCGATTGGCAGAGCATGGCTTGCCTCTTCAGGAATGTATTTCAGGCATTTTACATCCTTTTGGCCTCCAGTTATAACAGCTTAATAGCATCACTTACAGGACAGGTTTCTTTCTCCAGAAAGGGAGGAAAAAGTGTCATAATGTCTTCTGCTATTGTTATTAATTTCTCTGCCTGATGAAAATGGCAGTTGGATTCATGTCTGTAATGAAGGATTAGAACAGCATTTTATAGTACAGAGTGTGGTGCATGAATATGCTGAATTAATGTAGATAAATGACATGAAGCACATAAGCTTGTGAAGATGCTTGCTTAAAAGTACAGTAATGTAATGCTAAAGTTTAATAATTTTTGAGCATTTCATTCTGAGTAAATCTATGCACATCTTGTGTTTTTGTACCATTGGCCCTATCCCTGCAAGCACTTAGTACTAGTAATGTTTCCTTCCACAAGTAATCCCGCTGACTTCAGTTTGACTGTTCACATTAATTATGTTTGTTTGCCGAATCTATTACTAAAGTTTATTTACAGTTAAATAACTACTAGGTTTACGCTTAGGTTTGGGGTTTTTTTTTACCCTGACTTGGTTGTCTACAAAGCCTCTTGGTTTTTGAGATCCTTTGACTGTCATTGCTAGTCTCAGTTTTTATTCTTAGCTAGGTCTGTACTTTATAGCCTCTAATTGGGTGATAGATTTCAGTGAACAGGATTGGCAGGTTGAAAATTTAAGGAAAAATCTTAATAGCATTTTGAGTTAGTCATGCGCCAGCTTCTATAGCTACCTCTTTTGGGAGCCCAAAAATATGGCTGTATCATCTCTGGGGGTTTTTTTTGTTCATGTAAGGAAGAATCGAGGGTCCACAGAGTTGTCTTGCAGAATCTTTTTACTGTCTTTGTGGAAAGCTACACACTGACTTGTGGGATTTGTTAGTCAGACCTAGAGTACTGCTTAGGTTGTCAAGGCTGCTTCACTTTTGTCCCTAGCAAAGACTTGTCTCAGTCCTGTAACTGCAGCCATGTGGCCAGACCAGCACCAGTATGGAGCCCTTTTAAAGGTAGCTTTGCTTGATGTTTGGCATCTATCCAGGGAAGCTTCTTGCAGTTTACAGGCTCTGCCATGACATTTTGTAAGTTTCTGTAATCAAGAACACTGCAATGGAAACAGCTATCTTAAAATAAATACCACCTTGCAATGATTGCAACTTGAAATGATTGAGCATTACAGAACTGAAAGTGAAACTGATCTCCTTGATTTTTTTTTTTTTTAATTTAATCATTTGTGTTCCTGTTAGTAGAAATGAGAAAAGTTAAAGTTTATCCAGTGGCAAGTGAATTGGGTTTTTAAAATTCTTTCAGTTTTAATAATGTAACAGGTTTCTAATAAGCAGGTAATCATTTTTATAATTTTATTTGCAGTGTACTGGTATGATTTTTTTTAAAAATGACACATCACTTTAAGAAGGAGGGTCCTTGTATTGTTTTTTGAAAATAGGATACAGAAGGGGGATCCTGAGGAAGCACTCTGCATACTGTAGTCAACACTTAACCAAGTGATGAACAATGAACAGTAAGATTTAGAGCAGCAAGCCTGCAGTGAGATCAGCGCAGGTGCGCAGGAATCTGACTGCACAGATTTCATTGTAGGATTTTTGTGTGTAATGATGTGGATCTGTAAGAGATATAGAATTTCAGGAACTATTTGAATTCATTACAGTTGTATGATTCACATTGCTTTTTTCTGGAGGAAGAACTGTGAATCCTTTTTTTCAAAAATAAAGTGTTGATATTTTAGCTGGAGGATTTCATGGTTTTTTTTCTTTAGGAATACTTCTTATAAAAATATTTAACGTGGAACAATGTGTTGTAATACTTTTCAGACTGTGTGAAATGAAATGGTCTGAGAGCTTTACAATGCTTTAAATCTCTGTTTTGGTTTTGAGAACATTGGGGGAAAATGATATTGCTTTATTGTATAATATGGCCACTTTGCTGCAAAGGGCGTAACATGGGTGGAGTCCTGACTTTGAAATGATGGAAACTTTTATCCAGAATTTTAGAACATAAAAGCCTAAATTCTGCAGCAGACTTTTTTTAAATACACGATATGACTGTAGAGAGTGTTTAAAAATACTGTTAAAAATGGGTTGCAACCTGCTGGAAAACTTTCTCAACACAAAATATGCATTACATCTTCTGGATATGTTCTTTTTCCTGCCTTCCTCATTTCAGTTGGAACTATGAATTATGGGCTCAAAATAAAGACTACAGAACTTGTTCCATTCTAAACTGATGTTTTTAGTCCTTTATTAAGACCTTGGAAACTAGGCTAACATTTCTAACTTAAAAATGAACAATTTTTCCTGTTTCAGAAAAATTGGGAAAGTTGTTGTTATTGGGCTTTGAAAACACACAGCTTTGCTATCACAGCACAAATAACCAATTTTTTAAACTTATAACGACTTTATTTGTATTTTGGAGGTGCCTACAGTGAAGTCAGGAGCCAGTGGACTTGGCCCTATTGCTCTGCAAACTGTCCCAGCTCAAAGTGTTCATGGTCCTAGAATCAGATCCTCAAACAGGTTCACAGGGGTGCATACTAATGTGTCCACATAGACTGTCAGTGAAATTAGTGGAGCTGGGCATAGCATCCGAGGTCTTCATCTGTGGATCCACTGGCAGGAAAGTTACATATATAAATACAAAATCGGTGGCTAAGGGTGCCTATGCACGAGCAGTGAGGCTACTCTGATTCACTATAATTACATCACGTTGGAGCAGACTTGAATAATTGAGTCTCCTGGAGCATGGTAGTTACTGCGCTCCAGCAGACTCCAGCGTTTCATGTATTGGTATTCCCATGCTTAAAAATGGCGGTGGGATCGCTTTAACTAAATCTCATTCAATGAGCTTCAGTTAAAGCGTTCCTACCACCATTTTTAACCATGGGGACACATACACGAGATGTTCCGGGTGCTTCAATTAGGCTCCGAGAGCTGCCCTCTCTAAAGCGCACCACCCACTCCTGGAGCACGTATATAAACACCCTTAGATTATATTTGTAAGCACTGTGTTTTATATATAAATTGTTTCTAAGATCAGATCATAGTGCTGGTAATCTAGGGTAAAATTCTGGCTCCACTTAAATCAATGGAATGCTTCCATTTACTTCTTTGGAGCTAGGGTTTCTATCCCTAGAGATCACCTCTTTAAGGTAAGTCCATAGATTTGACATGCTATTTTGTAGAGTGGCCTATTTTGGAACATAATCTTAGCTGTGATATAAACAGAAAGTCACAAACATTTTTCCCAAAGAAAATTTTGGAGTTTATTTAACATATGGTATTATGCCTGGGGTAGCTCTTTATGCTAAGGATTTCTAAAATCTGTGCTGTACAGGGCTCAACGCAGAAATTATGTTTCTGATGTGAAGTGATAGTACTTTGCATTATGTGATGGCTTTTTTGGAGGAAAATTTTTGGAATAGGAAACTGAGCTGGGGTGGATTTGCCCAAAATGTTTCAGTTTGAAGAAGAAGTGTTATAACTAGGAACCAGCTAAAAGGGCAGGAGAAACAAACACACCTAGGAAATGTTAGGTGGCAGAATTTACTGCTGTCTGTGTTCTCCACTTGCCTTCATTATGGTTTGTTGCAGAACTCAATAACACTGATGGCCAATATAGAACAACCCCACTAAAGATATCGGTGCAAATGATGGTGGAAGGAGGCGCTGAAGGGTGTTGTTTTTCTTGACAGTGTGCGCTGTGTAAACATCCATTTGGCCTGCAGATTTGATATGAGTTAAGGGTGCTTCGGAGATCTTTCATGCATAAGTTCCAGAGGCTTTTCGAGGTCTCCAGAGAACCCTGGCTGTATGGCATCCTTCCTTTTCCAGTTTATCTGTTTCCTCCCCCCACTCCTTCGTCATCCTCTCTTCCTGCTTGATTTATAACCACCATGGGGATTCTTTGACTTGGACCTCAGGTTACCAAGACAAGGACAGCAACTTCATTTCCTGTGCATCTCTGATGCATTTGCTTCTGCGACTTGAAGTGGCTGCCTGTCCAGCAAGGGTGTTAGCAAAGTAGCAGTACCTTTTAGATGGTGTGAAAATGAAGTTGAGATGGAGGTAATTCTGGAGGCCATGGCAGTGTGGTAGCCTCTGCAATTTCCCAATGTACCAGTATTTCTAGCCACAGCTGTGTGGCAATGGAGGGAGTCAGAAACATGAGCTGGCAGTTGTTAGCAGGGTGGTTGACATCCTAGATGGAAAGAGAAGCCAAATATGACTCAACACCAGTAATGAGATTGCAGATATCCCTAGTTACATTAGTTCCTGTAACAGCCTCTGTGACGGACTGTTATGGCTGTTGTCTGCTGTGATAGATTTTGTAAATGCTGGTGAAATTTGCTGTGCTCTGTTCCTCCCCCTACGTTCTAATTCTAAATGCAGAAACAAAGAAATGTAGCCAGATTCATTTGTAATACAAATAATTACTGAGATTTTCTCTGAAGCTAAGTTAATCATAAATCATCAAGCATGCATGTTAGAGATTAACTAGATGACCTAATAGGTCTCTTAGTCTCCGTCCCAAAGCAGGTTTATTCCCTAATGTACATTTGCTGGTGCTTTATGTAGTCTAATCTTCATGTGCCTTAAGTGATGGGGCTTCCATTGCTTTCCTTGGGAAGTTGAATAGATTTCACCCTAAAAAAAATATTTTTCTGATATCCCATTCTACTAGCCTGGAATAATTTAATTCTGTCAAATATATGTAGATTACTGCATCTCACCTGTCCTTTAGTTCTTTTGTAGCCAGTCGGTATACACTTTGATTCTTCTACTTATTGTAAATCTGCTCGTACTCCGTTCTTTCTAGCTTTTATTCTCAAGAGTAAAAGATTTTGCACCTTGGAACTTCAAGCATTTATATATTGACTCAAAGGCCTCCATTGCATTTTTATAAGTGCAACTTGTAACTCTTCATTCCTGAGTGAGGAAATAGCCATTTTGTAACCTACCAGTTATTAATCTGTTGAAATTTGTCCCATAAAAGGGGGTAGGATGGGATAAGAAGCAGGCTATAAGATGATATGGTTTTGTAATGGTATGTTCTCTCTCCATTCTTTTTCTCCCTGTTTTTATTTTCTTTGGCTCCTTTTTCACTTAACATTGTAGCATCTTCTTTATCGCCCTCTCTTTACCACTTACCCACTGCCTTTCAGCTTTAGTCAGGCATGCTTTCCTCTCTATATCTCTCCCTTCGATTTTCCCTCCAGCCAGCTCTGAAATGTGAGAAGGGCTAAGTTTAGTAACTTGCTTACAAGCAGGAATGTTTTCTTACTGGCTCTGCCTGCAACCAGACAGTGACTAGGAACAGAGATCACGGGTAAGTGGTCAGGGATTTTGTTTCTAAACAGGAACGTTGTTCTGAGAGTATTCCCTCAAGAGCCAGAGCATCCACTGGATGTTGGCTGCTGGAAAAGAAAGTTCTGTACTGAAATCATGTTAGCAATTAATTCACACTTGATTCATGGTGTCAATTATCATTTCTTTTTAGACGCTTAATTTTTGTGACACTATTAATTGTGTTAATTTACAATTTGGATGGTGTGGTCAAACTACCTTAAACGGGGTGAGAGACTCCTGTCACTCAAGTGATAGAGTGAAGATAAAACATTCTAACTACATTCTTTTCATTATTTGTTTTTATGGAGCTTAACATATGCAGAAACATTTCTCTTTGGGGACCAATAACTTTCTTTTGTGGTGTCTTTGGACATTAAAGACACTGTATTTAGAGGAATATGCAACGAAACCTCTTATGGCAGGATTGTTTTTTCTCTGCTTGCTGTACTGTACTGTCAAAAATACTAAATCCCATTTAGGTTAGGTGCTTCTCCTTTTTTTGGTTATTCTCTTTTAGTATTTTGCTCATTTGTTATGTGCTTTGTATTGAATTCTGTTCATAAAATGAAATTAAAGAGAGGACTATGACCATTTCTTCTATCAGTAAAGAATATACTTGGTAGGGTACTAGTCATAATGTGCACCAGTTTTTTGGCATCTTTTAAAACTTCAGTAGCTGCAGCTATGTATGCTTGGAGTTCAAGATGCAAAAGATTTTTAAAAAAATAATACATTTAAAACAAATAAGGAGCCCCCCCCCAAATCCTTTCATTTGTTGTGGTGTATGTTTTCCTGCAAAACTAATATTTCTCCTAATTTCTGTGGACTGTGTGAGGTTAGGCAAAGAAAGAAAGTCCCCATGTGTAGTGGAGGCAAGAGTGGAATATAGACGCATAGGTTAATTTAAGGGTCTGTTTTAGCCCAGACCTGGAGAGGTGCCAGGGTGCAGTGGGAGTTCGGTGCTGTGTACCACAGGCAAACAGATACCTGTAGTTTTTCTTTTGAAACATCATACACCTATCTAGTAAGTGGTTTTTACCAACAGTGCATGATTATAGTTTTGTTGTCTTTGTGCAGACTCACTAGTATTGGTCTAACTGTGAATTTTCAGATGATTGTGAAGCAATACTTTTCTTATGTTCATTTACATCTAGCAGTATTTTTTTTCTGAAGTCCTCCTGAATATGCCATCATGCTTTTCAAACGAACACTTATGCAGTCATTTTCCTGAAAGGTTCCTTTTGTACATTTTTGGTTAAATCTTGGATAATAACAAAAAAGAACTGAAGCTTTTTAAAAATATTCTTTGTGATTAGAGAACATGGTTTTGGCATCTTGCTTTTCACAGCATGTGTTGCTGGGGGGAGACCTCTTGCTGCTTTTGGTTAGGTACAGATATTCAGAAAGCCTGAGGTAGAATTGAACCAAGTTACACGGTTTTCTGTAACAGTGTAGTTTAGAACAGTAGCGAACAAAACGAACATTTGGCCAGGGGGACGGGAGGGCAAATCTTAGACCAGGTTCATGCGTAGACAAGTTCCACCAGTCTGTGCATGAACTTCTGTTCTGTTATGGGTATAGACTGGTTTCCAATCACTTTATACCAGTAACAGTGTAATATTTGTACCTGTCCTTTAAAGGTAGTGGACTAAAACGTGGGACAAAAACTTTATTGTGCATCAGGCTTGTTATGTAACCATGGGCAAATTGCTTAGCTCTTACTGCAAATGAATTGAAGGAAGGTGCCAAATGTAATTGCAGCTGATCTGAGTCCGTAAGAATTAAAGTCTTGGAAATTCACTTTTCTGCATCTTGTTGAAAATGGAAAGCATCTTTCATATTGAGCCATTTAAAAGGCGCACCTTTGTTTTATACAAATACTTGAACTTTTGAATGAACATGTTTGAGTGAAAACACTGCAGCAACTTTTTTTTTTCTTTTTCAGGAAGAAAAAGCTTCTCTACTACATCGTACCCAAGAAGAAAGGCGGAAACGAGAGGTAACATAGAAATTGCATCTTGGGGAAAATAAAAGCTTTCATATGTTCTGGTATCTAGTTCAGATGTTTATGGTTCACAATCTCTTACTTTGTTGTAGTTGAACTTAACTCAGAAATGCTCTGTGGATTTCATTATTCAGTTTATTGGTTTTATATTTTGTTCTTGCTGGTATTAGAACTCTCAAAATTATTTGAATGCTTGAAGTGGATAATTTACTTCCTTGTCTTATGCCTACTGGGGTCAATGGGAATTTTTCCCTTCGCTCTGAGTACTAGATCAGGTCTTTAATGGCTAGTCATTTTCATCATACATCCCAGTGATCAGAAAAACGGTTACTCTGGATTGGGACCCAGGAGACTTGGGTTCTTTCCTGGTTCTGCAGTTGGTTTCTTGGGTGACGGATAACAATTTGTCGCTTTGCCTTGTTCCTCAGTTTTCCCATCTATAAAAGCAACATCATGACTGGCTGCAAGTTGTAACAAGGGAAGTTTAGGTTAGATATTAGGGAAAAACTTTCTGCCTACGAGGGTAGTAAAGCACTGGAACAGGTTACCTAGAGAAGTTGCAGAATCTCCATCCTTGGAAGTTTTTAAGACCGAGCTAGACAAAGCCTTGGCTGGGATAATCCAGTTGGGGCTGGTCCTGCTTTGAGTAGGGAGTCAGACTAGATGAACCTTGAGGTTTCTTTCAACTCTAATTTCCTATGATTCTCACTTGTATTGTAAAACATTTAAAGAACTAGATAAGTGCATTGATGGCGATTCATTGTGTCCACAGTAAACTGTAGTTCTAGCTTGGAGACGTTAGTCAGCTCCTCTGGATAATTTCTTCTTCAGAATTAAATGTGAAAAGAAAATAGACTGAAAGGGAGAAAATACCATTTTATGAACATAGTTGTCTCAAATAAATATAGTAATAAGATGATATAATATAAAAGGAAAGTAAGTCATCTGACTTAAGTCTCATCTCAAGCAATGGCTTAAAATGTAAATGTATACTTCTGATGCTAATCAAAAGTGTGCAACTATTGTCCCATGAACCTGTGCTTGGCCAGTACCATAATGATGGCAAGTTCCGCTGTAGCTCAGTGATTTTACTAATCATAATGGCTGAATTTTAGGAACTGCAAGGCTTTGATTTCCCAGTTGAATGTACAGTACTGTACTGAATCAAAACATTCAGTAATTGGAATGTTACATACAAATATGGTATCTTGTATCTTAAACTCCTCCTCAGTTTTATGATTTGCTAATCTTTACTAACATACAGAAATACAATTCAGGATTTCAGAAATGTTTTGCTGATAAGCTTTCATTATGTTCCTGGTACTACTAGAAGAAGTAAAACATGGTACCTGATAGATTTATGCTTTAAGTGCTTGTATTGCACAACTGTAGATGTATAGTATCTATCCACATATGTTATAAGCTTACAGAATGAAAGAAATTCCCTTATAGGGCAATTTTCAAAAGAACGAGTCCTTTGAGAATAAAATCAGTTAGCTTTAAAAAAAAAAAAAAAAGTGCATGTGATGAAATCTCAGCATGACTGCAGACTTCAAACACTTGCTAGTATGGGTCACTAATTGACAATTATGTATTCTAAGATGAAACATACCTACAGAGAAGGAGAAAATATCTGCCTTTCAATGTAATTTTACTTTGATATTATGAAGAGGCAGTGCCTCTCTACATTTCAGGTTGAGACATTTTTCCTGTGTTTTGTCCTTTATTCATTTAGAAAGAAGCCCTTATTGTTTCATTTTTTTCTCCTTTAGTCTGTGGCTAGCAGGGAAGTCACTTGCTGAAAAAAAGATGATTATGATCAGCTCTTTTGGGAATATGGAACTGAACAGTATATTGTAGGTATAGAAAGTGTTTCTGAAATTCTTCTAATACTTTTTCTGCCACATCTCAAAAATGACGTGTCCTAGAAAATTAGACAGAGGCATATTTGGTAAGTTACTCGGTAGTAAATTAGAATGACAAAATAATTTATCAGGCTACAGTGATTTTTTTTTTTTTTTTTCAGTTTTGAGTGTACATGGAGATGTCAACTAAATCTTTAGCTTTTTTTGTTTCAATGGACAAGTCTTAAAAATGTATATTGGGGTGAGTTGGTGAGACACTTAAAAAAGAAAAAGAAAAAAAAACAATAAAAAAAAGAAATTCTAATCTGTCTCCATTTACTATTTGCTGAGTTTCCTCTTGTCTAATCTCTATACTTCCCCATCCTCAGTCACTACTGTCAAGAATGCCTTACCTGAAATTTTATTCATGTACCTTGTTTTCTCTATACTTCCATTGAGAACCTCCAAATTTGTAAAGATGTTAAAAGAAACTTAATTCTGCGTGCCCTCCTTGATACTCAGCGCTATCTGAATTACTCGTGCTGGGAGTGCTACCCCTTGTTTACCACTTGAGCCAACTTGGCTCTCTGGACAATCCTTTCTGAATATAAGTATCTGTGAGGGGATGACACTTGAAGGTAGTTCTGGGTGCTGATTTAAATTACAAGGAAGAGGAAATGTCATTCTTTCTCCATAGCATGTTCCTGGGCCTGTAGTACCTCATCTTTGTCTCCTTTGCAGCTTTCTCACTATCCTGTCGCTTTGAAAGCAGTGAGTTCACACCAATAATATACTTGATCCCTAGAACTGATTTCTCATCCAAATGAAAACGACCCTTGAAACTCTGGAATTGAGCAAAGGTGCAAGAGAATTCTCAGGTTTAAATCAGTGATTGAAAAATATGGTGGTAAAATTCTGTGGTTAATAAGATTTTTAAAGCTTATATCAAGTTTTTGCAATTATAGCAATGTTTCATATAGTTACTGATTCTTAAGATTTGCTTTTATAGTGCTGTAAACAGACGGTACACACAAGCTTTTTTGGGGGGATCTAGATCATGTATATTTGCATTGTGGATGAATTTCACAAACACCTTTATTTTGATAAAGATTTCTTACTTAATTTTTATAAACATGGAACTATCTGCAGGAGAACAGAATCCATTTGGTGAAACAATAGAATTAGCATCAGTTCTTCATCTTTTATTTTAATCCTTTACTTTATTTTCTAGGAGGAAAGACGAAGGCTGAAAAATGCAATAATCATCCAGTCCTTTGTACGAGGATACAGGGACAGAAAACACCAGGTAGGTTTTGTTTTGTGTTTCTTCCCCATAAAGAAGGAAAGGGTGAGATGCAACTGTGCAGCTGAAACTAGCATTTCTTAACACTAATGCTAGTCATTTCTACTGATATACTTTAATTGCTGTAGCTTATTTTAGCAACCAATGAAATTCATGTAAAAATAGTGAAATACAGGGGTTTTTTCCCCACAAGTTGGTTTTATTTTATTTTTTTTGGCCTGATTTTTATAAGGTAAACTTTGATTCAGCAAAGCACATAAGCATTGACTTTAGTGGGAATCTTAATGTTTGTAAAGTTAAGCATATGCATAAGGGTGTTGCTGGATCAGGTCCTTAAGGCTTCCAAATTTAAAGAAGATAAGTTGGGATTATTTAGCACTTCTGAAAAGCAGACAGGATGCATGTCAGATGATTGAAGAGATGTTCTTTGAGTGGGATACAGAAGAGTGTATTTTTGTATTTCTGAGAGGCTGATTTGGAAGGGGATACTTTTAATCATCATTCTGTCAGAAGGTGATTTCTGTTTATGATAGACACAGTGAAGTAGCTCAAAAAGGGTTTATGTTACTTGGAATTCTGTACTTGAAAACCAATGCAAATGACCATATTTACTCGTTTTTAAGATGACGCCCCCACCATTTAACATGGTGGGGTGGGGGCAGGAAGTCCCTTGCCTT